GATTTAAATTGTATACAAGAAGGTTTACTTCCTACTACATATTATGAAAAATGTCAAGAAAAATTAACTTCTGCTAATGGTAGTAAAATGCATATCAAATATAAGTTACCTAAAGTTCATGTTTGCCAAGATAATGTATGTTTTAAAACTTCCTTTGTTTTAGTTGCAAATATGACTGATAAAATTATCTTAGGTTCCCCATTTATATATTTATTATATCCATTTACTACATCTAGTACAGGGATAACTACACATGTTTTAGGACAACCCGTCACATTTAAATTTTTATCTCCCCCTGAACTATTAAAATTAAATCAATTAAAAGATTGTTCTATTTCCCATAACATTAGTCGTTTAACTCGGCATTTAAATTTTGTTAAAGAAGAAATTAATTATAAACACATTGATCAACAATTAACTGATCCAATTGTTATTTCTCAAATCAATGATTTCAAATTAAAACTTGAATCCACTATTTGTTCTACCTTACCTACTGCATTTTGGCATAGGAAAAAACATGTAGTTACTTTACCTTATATTAAGAATTTTGATGAACGACAAATTTTTACTAAATCTAGACTCATTCAAATGAATTATGAGTTACTTGAAATGTGTAAAAAAGAAATTAATGAATTATTAAACAACCACATCATTAGTCCAAGTAAATCACCATGGTCTTGCCCTGCTTTTTATGTTAACAAAAATGCTGAATTAGAAAGAGGTGTCCCTCGCTTAGTTATTAATTATAAACCCTTAAATGCTGTTCTAGAATGGATCCGATATCCTATTCCCAATAAAAAAGATTTGATTAAAAGACTTAGTCAAGCTGTTATTTTCAGTAAATTCGATTTGAAAAGTGGTTTTTGGCAAATTCAAATTCATCCGAAAGATAGATATAAAACTGCATTTAATACACCCTTTGGCCAATATGAATGGAATGTCATGCCATTTGAATTTAAAAATGTTCCTAGTGAATTTCAACATATCATGAATGACATATTCAACCCATTTAGTCATTTTTCAATTGTTTACATCGATGACATATTAATTTTTTCAAAATCAATTAGTGAACATTGGAAACATTTAACTGCTTTCTTTTACACAATTAAAAGTTATGGTCTTGTCATATCTGCTCCTAAAATTAAATTATTTCAAACTAAAGTTAGATTCTTAGGCTATTATATTCATCATAATACTATTTTACCCATTAGTAGATCCATTGAGTTTGCGTTCAAATTCCCTGATAAAATTCTGGATAAAACCCAATTACAAAGGTTTTTAGGTTCTCTCAATTATATTGCTGAATTTTACAAAGACCTTCGAACAACTTGCTAACCCCTGTTTGATAGGTTAAAGGATAATCTTCCTTCTTGGTCTTCTGTTCATATTTCTATTGTTCAATAAGTCAAACAATATGTTAAGTCTCTTCCTTGTCTTGGTATTCCTACTAAAAATTCATTCAAAATTATTCAAACTGATGCTTCCGATATTTGTTATGGTGGCATTCTTCTTCAGAAAGTTACTCCTCAATCATCTGAACAAATTGTTTGCTATCATTCTGGTGTCTGGAATAAAGCACAATTACAGTACTATTAAAAAGGAAATTTTATCTACTGTCTTATGTATTCAAAAATTTCAAGATGATATTTTAAATCAAAATTTTTTACTTCGTGTTGATTGCAAATCTGCTAAATATGTTTTGGAAAAAGATGTTCAAAATCTTGCTAGTAAACAAATTTTTGCCGGTTGGCAATCCATTTTAAGCATTTTTGATTTTGATATTACCTGTATACCTGGTTGTCAAAATTCCTTGCCTGATTTTCTTACCCGGGAATTTTTACAGGGGGGTAAGGGATGACTGCACCATTTACTTCTTATCATAAATCCCGAATTACCTATTTCAAAACCCAAATTAAACAACTTGCCTATCGTATTCACCGCCTCAAACTAGCCAGACCACCCACCAAAAGAGCCCAATATATCAATTACCATCAAATTCAAGCCCGTCGTAACTTACTTGCTCACAACTACAATTGCTTACATCGTCATCAAGATTATTTAGATTTTCTTTCTGGTTGCTAACCATTGTTTCTTTCTCAACAGATGTCTCGTCCAAAACCTCCCTCTAAGGCTTTGGTCCCATCTTCCAGTAAACCTAATCAACTCATAGTCCCTCCTCCTTTAGAGTCAATCACCCAATCTCATTCACTTGAAATAGTTAACCGTTACCAAACTCTTGGTAACATTCATCGTCCTGATTATTCATCTGCATTGGCTTCTGATCCTTTTGCATCTGGCCATTCAGTTTCAGTTACTCCATTCCCAGTTAACCCCATTAAACCATCCCGATCTGAGTACACCAATTCACATGTTACTAACCTGTTCTACAAAGAACCCAGTCACCCAAAAAATCAAACCATCAATGAAATTGCTAAATTCCATTTTGGCTCTGGATGCCATTTCACCCTTTTACATCCAGAAAAAACCCTTTCCTATTACAAAGACATTCTACTCCATCATCATTCAATTTTGATCAAATCAATCCAGGATCGAACCTATGCTTACAAGATCCTATATCATTCAATTTATATTCACAACATTGTTTCCATGGCTGAATGGGGAAACCCTAATCAGCTTCGTGGTTTACCTGGTCATTCCATTCAATATAATTACCATGATTACGTTGATGCCTGGTTCAAGATTTTTTTATACCAAAATGAAAATTTCAGTCATTCTTGGTTCATATCATTTGATCAAAAGTTCAAATCTGAGATTCCTACTTGGTTTCTGAGATGGTGGACTCATTATGGCGCCATTTCAGATATCCTCCCCATTGATCTCAGTAAAATAATTAATTATTTTGCCTCTGTTTACCCATTCACTACTTACCAACAACAATTTCCATTATTGCTAATTTTTATATCCAAATACAAAATTCCATGGATATTCAAATGGCACTATGGGATTGATGATAACATCATCATTCGACAACACACAGTCAAATGGTGGGTTAAGTTCAATGTACCCAGAATTCTTGAAATTGTTCAAGAGGAATTCCCACCTGATCAGTGTGCTCCAACTCCTGCTCTTACTAAAGCCCAGCAGAACCCAACTGCTGCAATTTCTCAAGGAAGTCAGCCCAGTCTTTCTCCAGTCAATCTTGGAAGCCCCTCATCCAGTGGTTCCAAGCCCAAATCAAAGTCCAAAGCTGTTGCTGCCCAGCCAGCCCAGTCAAAGCCCAAATCAAAGTCTAAAGTAAAGTCAAAGCCCATTTCACCTCCTGCTCAGCCCAAAATCAAGTCCAGGAGTATATCCAAGTCATCCAAAGAAGATATGATCCAGTTAGCCCATCAACTTTTGAATCAAGCTAAAACCCAATCCACCGATTCAGACAGTTCAGAAGAAGGTTCAGAACATGCCCACTCCTCTGAAGAATCAACTAATCAATGTTCAGGGCCAGAATTCCAAGATGCCCAGGACCCATTTGCGTAGTCAACATTGGATTCTATATAGATACAAATTAGCTTCAATCAATACTCTTTTGAGAAAAGCTGCCAATTTGTATTTATATTGATTCCATTATTCTCATGTTCCACTGAAAGTGATGAATAGTAAAAGTTACTGTTCACTTTTACTGTTCACCGTCACTATTCACCCAGTCAACTTTTGTTTAAAGCTACTCAACTGTTCAATCAATCAGCCGAAAGCAACCGACAGCATCCGCTTTGCCCCATGTGCTGCCAGCTGCTTTCATCAGTTAAATGCTGCTTTTCTTTTCTTTGTTTTTGTATATAATGTAATCAAGTTGAACTCATTCGGAAGACTTGGAAATTCTTAGAAAAATATATTCTGAAAGATCTAAGAGCTCTGAGTGAAAAACCAACACTTTGTACTGTAACCTGATATTGTAAGTTACTATGTTTTAATGTTTTAAGTTACTATGTTTTAATGTTTTATTTTTATTTTGAATGTGCATTCCAATCTTGTTTCTTTTGATTTCGTAATCCATCTCCTTCATGGTCTCTACCCTAGCCGATGTTGCGATTGCAGCATGCGCGCGCGCACGCGTGAGAGAGAGAGAGAGAGAGAGAGAGAGAGAGATGATGTTGGGTGGAGATGGCGATGGGTGGTGACGGTGGTGGTTGGGGACGGGTTGAGGGTGGCGATGTGGTGGAGAAAGGACAAAGGGAGAGAGATCGCCGAAAGGAAGGTCACAGAGAGAGAGAGAGAGCAGGTCGAGATGGGGCTGGGCTATGGCGGTGGTGGGTGAGAATGGGCTGATAGGTGGCGGGGTGGTGGACAAGGGTCAAAGGAAGGTTGGGGGATTGGGCAGTGGCGAATGGTGGCAGAATGAGCCCAGGAGAGTCGTCGGAGTGCACCACCGGACCTTTAGTGGCTGAGGGTTAGGGTTTTGGGAGGTTCAAAGAAGAGGGGTATAATTGGGATTAAGGTGGGGGTTCAAAGAGAAAATGGGAGGCACTCAATTAAGTGAAGAAATGGGGGGTTCCAAAGAAATAAGGTAGGGGTAAACTGTTAAGGATAAGGTTCAGGATAAGGAACCCACTAGTGCAAGTGCATCAGCACCATCTTCTCATGCATTAGCATCAGATGCAATCACAGCTCTCAATGGATGCTCAACTGTTTCCGTAACCACTGGAAAGTAGTTAGAAGTCATTAGGAGTAGTTAGACTTTCAGTTACATATTTTTCAGTTACATAGCTCTTGTATAAATATACTCTGTAATTCAGATATTTTCTTTAATGAGAATTGTGATCAAACTTTCATCATAAATAGCAGCCCTTTATAATTATCGTGTGACAAGTTAAAGTAGCTTTGAGTTATATATATACGTAAATATTTGCATATGTATATCAATGTATGTGTATATATGTATACTTTTCGGCCATATGGGAGATTAATGAAGGTTCTAGAGCTGTCATTTTGTAAAGGTCAGAAACCTTTAATTTAGGTGCAACTTATGAAGTCTTTCTTTTGCTTAGGTGGGAGGCAGCACAAATTCCCAAAGTGAAGGTTTCCAAGCTTGAAACAAGCAAATTGAGCAAAGAACAGACTGTTTATATGCCTAAGATACCTGATATTGCAAAGTGCCCGGAGCACTTGTTGCCGCTGAAACAGTGGGAGGATGCATTCATTGCTGATTTTTCCGAGCTAAGGCTGGTATACCTATCTGGGTCCAATTTTCTTATGTTTCTTTTAGTTTATTACAATAAATTGAGTAAAATTGAGTGAAGCAAAAGAAAAGAAAAGAAAAAGTAACTAGAACCAGTAAATGCACCTCTCTCTCTTAATACAAATTGCACGCATCTCATTTTTTGTAGTTGCAGTACTGGATCCAGGATGTCACCAAAACTAACACCTTTTATTTTCTTAGCACAAGCGATTTGAAGTAAATTTTCTTGCAATTAGTTAAACTCTTATTATGAAAAAATTCTTGAAAATTTAATAATGTAGATAAGATTATTTTATGTAGACAAAATTATTTAATTTAATAATGTAGACCAAATTCTTCGACAAGTACTAATTTGTTGGAAATGATTTTATTCTTTGTATTTTAAGTAGTTCTGAGCTTAGGATAATTGAATAAATAATGTCGAAAGCAATAACATCAAAAAGGTATTTTTCGAACTGGATTGCCAAAGTACAACAAAAATCCCTAACAACTTGTGTCTTAAAAGTCCCCAACAACAACTGGTGTCCTAAAAGTCTCCTTGGTTGGAGGCTCTAGAAAGAGCTGCTAAATAAAGTTCTCCAAGGTGAAAGAAGTATGACTTCTTTACCAATAGTTGATCCAAATCTTCATCTGTAGCAAAAGGAGAATCTGTAATTTCAAAGGCAACCGCCATTAGGAGTGGTATTGTAGGGTTTTATGAGTTTCTCTTGTAATATTCTAAGTGTTGAAGACCTAGCTTGGTAGGAATGGAGTTCATTCACATTTTTGATTAGGGGAGAACCTATCTTGAGTGCCCTTAGATTGTCATGACCTTAGTTGCACGAAGCGGGAACGGGAACGGGAGCGGGAGCGGGGAATTGTGAGCCGATAAAAGTTTCTTAGGTTGGGAGCGTCTCGGGGAGCGGTAATATATATATATATATATATTTGATTAATCCATTCTCCTGTTTCTAACTGCTGTGTTTCTTCCAATCAATCCATTCTGTTGTTTATTTGATTAATCTAGTTTTCATTTTCTCTTAATCACCCAAGAGATCGGTCCGTGTTTATCCAGCTGGTTTAAGTCACCCACTTTTGTTTCTTGTGCAGAGTAAGTCCTTAGAGGTAGGCCGTGTAGGACATAGGGGTTTCCTGAATAGGGTCTGTACTCAAACCATTTTGGTCTGTGATAACATGACTAGAATAGGGTATGTATTAAGGTATCTGTAAAACTGATTAATTAAACAAAACAATGAATCGATTGTTTAGAAGTAACTTATCAGTCAGTTCTAGGTCAACAACTTTGCCCTCAATACTTAATCAAGGATTAGTAATTAATGAAGAAGATGTTGAAATACAAAATGATAAAATTGATGCAGGATGGAATATACCTAAACTTCAAATTAAAGAAATTTATAAAATTATTTTTTTACAGAATGTTTTTAAGGTTACTTTACATGTTAAAACTATTGAACAAGTTTATGCTTTAGAAAAATCCAGAGAAACCTGCAGATTATTTGATGCTAAGCTAATTAAAAGACATTTAAATAATGGTTACAATTTATGCATATTGGTTTAATTCAGGTTGGTATAAATCCATTAACCATAGTGGGACGCAATACTTCTGTTTTATTATGCTTAAGAGATCTCGTTTTCTTAATTACAATGATAGTTTAATGGGTATGATGGAAATTGGTCTTCATAAAGGTCCAGTCCATTTTAATTGTTTTCCTGATTTTACACTCACGAGATCCACATATTTTAGATGCATTAACATTAAAAATTCAATTACATGGTTCATTCACTAATATGAAAGAAAAAGTTCATAATATTGCTTTAATATATCGCGTTCATTATAAATGCATGTAAACCAATTTAAATGTTCATGCTTTACACAAGAGTCCCAAAGATAAAACTCTATTAATCCAAAACAGTAGTAATCATGAATCCAATATTAATGTTCCACAAATGATTGAATGGAAAAATATCGACTTACCTGATCAATGGGTTACTGTCAATGAAAATCACAAACATAATCAACAACAATCTTCAATTCAAGATATCAAAGATATCAACAATACAATGATGGTACTGTTCCAATTAAATTTAATCGAAGCCAATCCTCTCGACATAGTACATCCAGTGTTCCGACTGAAATTGAAACTGAAGATGAAATATTTAATACTCCATTATTTCGCAAAATAAGTCACATTCATCTTGGTCAAACCTTGACTAGTAAATTAAAAGGCATTGATAATACTATTTCCTCTCAAATTAGTAAACCTGTTTATTCTACACACACATTTACCTGAAGAAGAAATTGCTTCTAATAATTCTCCAACTCAAATTGATTTTGAAGAATTTATACCTCCGGTCAATCCCCAATTAATGACAATAAAAAAAGATTTTAAACCTGATTTAGATAAATTACTTATTGAATTTAAATCCTCTAAAAATAAAACACTCCGGCATGCTTACTATGCTAAATAATTTTGCTCAAATGTCCAAAATTACTCGGCACTGGCATGATTTTATGATTGAATATGGTCTTGAATTACCTCTATTAGAATATGTTGACAAATATTACAAAAAAATTAATACAATCACCAAACATAAATGAAAAACTTCTGACACTACTTCTGTTAGTTCTAGTCATCCTTCCTTAGAGAAAATACTTCTTACTCAACAAGGTTCTGAAATCCCTACTTCTCCTTTCAAATTACCTGGTAATGATAATGAAATTAAAAAAGTTATTGAACAAAATAATTATACCAATCAATGTTTAAATACAATTGGTAAATAATTAGACAAAATAGAAACCAATTTAGAATCTGTTCAAAACACATCCACTAAACAACATTTAGATTCACCTTTACTTAATCTACCTAGTAATCGTTCCAAAGGTACCAGCTTAGTTACCAATGATCAATCTATTGTCAAGGCTATTGAAAAATTATTTACTAAACTATCTACCTCTGATAATGCTTCACCTTCTAAAGACAAATGTCTTACTGTTTTACATCAACAACCTCATACTGAAAATGTTTCTACTCAATCTGAAACTGACACCACTGATGATGAAATAAATCAATTAGCTCAACAATTCCAATCTTCTAATCAGCTTGCAAAAATTCATTATCCTAAAGTTAATCCTCAAACTACTAAAAATTGGTATTCTCGACCTACTCCTGCTGATCTCCAATTCGAAGAAACTAATCTTAATAATCAATTTTTTGTTTCTGCTAAACGATTATATGAATGGAATATTGATGGTCTTAGTGAAGATCAAATCCTCCAAAAATTAAATCATTTATCCATGGTTTCCAATAGTTATCTTTCCAACTACCCCCAATATTCTCAATCTGAAATAGTTTCCTTAATTACCTCTGGTTTTACTGGTATGCTCAAATCTTGGTGGGAAATATATCTTACTGAAGAACGAGACTCCGTAATTTATGCTAACCAAACTGATGACAATGGTCTACCTATCTTTGATGAAAATATTGGATGTTGCCACCCTGATGGCATTAATGCATTAATCTATACGACTGTTAGACATTTTATTGGTACCCCTACTAATATTTATTCTCGCATACATGATCAACTTAGTAATCTTACTTGTCCTACCTTAAGTGATTTTAGATGGTATAATGATGTTTTTACTTCTAGAGTTATGTTAAGAGAAGACTGTATTAAATCATTTTGAAAAGAAAAATTTATTAATGGACTACCTAGTTTATTTGCTCACAAAATTAGAGATGTTCTTAGTCAACCAACTGGTGTTATAGAATATGATAACTTAACATCTGGTGATATAATTAGCACGATTCAAAAAGAAGGATTAAAAATGTGTGTTGATCTTAAGGCCTCGTTTGGGAACAAGCTATTTTTGTAACTTTTTGGCTTTTTACGAAAAGATGTGTAGAAAAGTAGAGAGATGATGTGACTAGTTTTAGTTGGCTTTTTGGCTTTTTGGCTAAAATAGTCAGTCCCCCAACGAGGCCTAAGTCAAAAAGCCACTAAAGATAAACATAAAGCTAAATATGAATTAGGAAATTTTTGTGAACAATATAGTTTACCTCCTGTAGCACCCTCTCGTAGGAAATCACATAAACATTCTAAGCATAAATATAAATCCAAATATTCTAATAAATACAAAAAGAATTATTCACCTTCCAAATCCAATGATAAATTTTATACTAAACCTAAAAAGAAATATTACAAAAAATCACATCCAAAATCTAAATCTAATAAAGATATTACATGTTACAAGTGTGGTAAAAAAGGACATTATTCAACTCCAAATTGATAATGAATCTAAAAATCAATTATTTGAAAATTTTCAACTAAACCAATCTGTTAATAATTCATCTTCTGATCATCCAGAAACTTCCTCTGATGATAATTCAACCAGTAATGATTCTGATAATCATAATATAACATTAGGATGTAATGATGTTTGTTGTAAACCAGTTAAGCAAATCACTGTTCTTACCAAACAAAATCAAGAAGAATCTGCTCTAATTGAATTAATTAGCAAGTTAGATTATCCCAACTTAAAACAAAAATATATTGATAAATTAAAATCTCTATTAATTCATTCAGATAATAAACCTAAATTTGATAAACCTATTATTAGTTTGTCTAAAACTTTAGAACGATTTAAAAATAAAAATAAAGATATTACCCTTCAAGATTTACAATCTGAAATCAACCAAATTAAACAAACTATCCGAGATTTACAGCATAAAGATAAAAAATTAGAAGATGAAATTATTACTCTAAAACTTAATCAAAGTTTAGATAATTTCAAACCCCATCCAAATGCATCACCTAATGAATTTCCACATGAGTCTGAACATGACTATGATCATACTAATCCAGATAAACTTTTATTTGATAATCGATCTCATCAATCTAATAATCTCGAAGACAAACGATTAAATCTAATCAATAAGATTTATATTCAAAAATGGTATTCAAAAATTAAAATTGTTGTTGAAAATTTTGGAACCGAGTTAATTGCTTTAATTGATACTGGTGCTGATTTAAATTGCATTCAAGAAGGATTACTTCCTACTAAATATTATGAGAAATATCAACAGAAATTAATTCCTGCTAATGGTAGTCAGATGTATATTAAATATAAATTACCTAAAGTTCATGTTTGTCAAGACAATGTCTGTTTTAAAACTTCATTCGTTCTAGTTAAAAATATGACTGATAAAATCATTCTAGGTACACAATTTATTTATTTATTATATCCATTTACTACATCTAGTGAATGCATCACTACTCATGTGTTAGGTCAACCTGTTACATTTACATTTTTATCTCCACCTGAAATGCTAGAATTAAATCAATTAAAAGATTGTTCTATTTCTCATACTATTAATCGATTAACTCGGCATATTAATTATAAAAGAATTGATCAACAATTAATTGATCCAGTTCTTATTTATCAAATTAATGATTTTAAGTTAAAACTAGAATCAACTGTCTGTTCAACTTTACCTACTGCATTCTGGCATAGAAAAAAGCATGTAGTTACTTTACTATATATTAAGAATTTTAATGAACGACAAATTCTTACTAAATTTAGACCTATTCAATTGAATCATGATTTATTTGCAATGTGAAAAAAAGAAATAAATGAATTATTAAAAAATCGAATAATTAGTCCAAGTAAATCACCTTGGTCTTATTCTGCTTTTTATGTTAATAAAAATGCTGAATTAGAACGAGGTGTCCCTCGCCTAGTCATTAATTACAAACCATTAAATGCTGTTTTAGAATGGATTCGTTATCCTATCCTTAACAAAAAAGATTTGATTAAAAGACTTAGTCAAGTTGTTATTTTCAGTAAATTTGATTTAAAAAGTGATTTTTGGCAAATTCAAATTCATCCTAAAGATAGATACAAAACTGCTTTTAATACACCCTTTGGTCAATATGAATGGAATGTCATGCCCTTTGGATTAAAAAATACTCCTAGTGAATTTCAAAATATAATGAATGATATATTTAACCCATTTAGTCATTTTTCTATTGTTTACATCGATGACATTAATTTTTTCAAAATCAATTAATGAACATTGGAAACATTTAATTGCATTCTTTTATACAATTAAAAGTCATGGTTTAATTATATTTGCTCCTAAGATTAAATTGTTTCAAACTATAGTCAGATTTTTAGGCTATGATATTCACCATAATATTATTCTGCCAATTAGTCGCTCCATTGAGTTTGCATCTAAGTTTCCTGATGAAATTCTTGATAAAACCCAATTATAAAGGTTTTTAGGATCCCTCAATTACATTGCTGAGTTCTATAAAGACCTTAGAAAAGTTTGTCAACCTCTGTTTGATAGGTTAAAGGATAATTCTCCTCCTTGGTCTTCTGTTCATACTGCTATTGTTAAACAAGTCAAACAATATGTTAAGTCCCTTCCTTGTCTTGGTATTCCTACTGAAAATTCTTTCAAAATTATTCAAACTGATGCTTCTAATATTGGTTATGGTGGCATTCTTCTCTAGAAAGTCACTCCTCAATCATCTGAACAAATTGTTCGTTATCATTCTAGTGTCTGGAATAAAGCACAATTAAATTATAATACTATTAAAAAGAAATTTTATCTACTGTTTTATGTATTCAAAAATTTCAAGATGATATTTTGAATCAAAATTTTTTACTTCGTGTTGATTGCAAATCTGCTAAATATGTTTTAGAAAAAGATGTTCAAAATCTTGCTAGTAAGCAAATTTTTGCTCGTTGGCAATCTCTTTTAAGTATTTTTGATTTTGATATTACTTATATTCTTGGTTGTCAAAATTCCCTTCCTGATTTTCTTACCCGGGAATTTTTATAGGGGGGTAAGGGATGAATGCTGCTCCACATATTTCCTACCTTCACACCCTAATTACCCATTACAACACCTTGATACGCCAAGTTAGACACCGTATTCATTGCCTCAAATTAGCCAGACCACCTACTAAAAGAGCCCAATACATTATTTACCATCAAATTCAAGCTCGTCGTAATTTACTCAACGATTACATTAATCATTTACATTACTACCAGAATTATTTAGATCTTCTTTCTGATTGCTAATCATTATTTCTTGCTTCACAGATGTCTCGCCCAAGGCCTCCCTCCACGGCTTTGGTTCCATCTACTCAACCATTTATTCCTCCTCCTTTGGAGTTAGTAGGCCAGTATCGTCAACCTATTGAAATGATTAACCGTTACCAAGTTTTTGGTAACATTTCACGACCTAATTACTCATCTGCTTTGGCTACAAACCCTTTTGCTTCTTCCAGCCAAGCAGTCTCAGTTACTCCATTCCCTACTAACCCAGTCAGGTCATCTCGATCTGATTATACCAAATCACACACCACTAATCTGTTCTACAAAGAACCTAGTCACCCCAAAGGCCAAGTTATCCATGAAATTGCTAAATCCTATTTTGGCTCTGGATGCCATTTCATTCTTTCACACCCAGAGAAAACACTCACCTATTATAAGGATATTTTGATCCATCACCAATCGGTTTTGATCAAACCCATTTATGATCGAACCTATGCTAGTAAGATTCTGTATCATTCTATTTACATTCATAACATTGTTTCCTTAGCTGAATGGGGTCCTCCTTATCAGCTTCGTGATTTACCTGGTCATTTTGTTCAATACAATTACCATGATTACGTTGATGCTTGGTTCAAGATCTTCTTGTACCAAAATGAAACTTTCAGTCACTCTTGGTTCATTTCTTTTGATAAAAAATTCAAGTCAGAATTACCTTCCTGGTTTCTGCGATGGTGGACTCATTATGGAGCCATCTTAGATATCCTCCCTGGTAATCTTATTGAATTAATTAATTATTTTGCCTCTGTTTACCCATTCACTGCTCATCAGAGAACATTTCCATTTCTATTAATTTTTATATCCAAATACAAAATCCCTTGGATATTTAAATGGCATTATGGAATTGAAGATAATATAATCATCCGCCAACACTCAATCAAATGGTGGGTTAAATTCAATGTGCCCCGCATATTTGAAATTGTTTATAAAGAATTCCCCATTGATCACTGTGCTCCTACTCCTGCAATTGCTAAAGCCCAGCAGAACCCAACTGCTGCAATCAACCAAGGAAGTCAACCCAACCTTCCTCCAATCAACCTTGGAAGCCCCTCATCTAGTGGTTCCAAGCCCATTTCATCTAAGTCCAAGATTCAACCCATAACAGATAAACCTTGGAAGCCCCTCATCTAGTGGTTCCAAGCCCATTTCATCTAAGTCCAAGATTCAACCCACAACATATAAATCAAAGTCCAAGGCTAAGTCCAAAGCCTCTGCAGTGTCGGCTCAGCCCAAGACTCAATCAAAGCCCAAATCCAAATCCAAATCCAAATCCAAGGCTCAGTCAAAGCCCATTTCACCTCCTGCTCAGTCCAAAGTCAAATCCAAAAGCAAGTCCAAATTATCCAAAGATGAAATGCTCCAGTTATTCCAAAAAATCATGGATCAAGGTAAAGCCCAGTCAACCAGTTCAGAAAATTCAGAAGACAGTTCAAACCAGTCACAATCCTCTTAAGGATCAACTACTCAACCCATCTCTTATGGAAGACCTGAATTCCAATATGGTCAAGACCCATATGCCTAATCAACATAGGATTCCCTATAAATACAAATTAGCTTCAGTCAATACTCTTTTGAGAAAAGCTGCTAATTTGTATTTATATTGATTCTTTTATTCACATGTTCCACTGAAAGTGATGAACAGTAAAAGTAAACAGTAACTTTTACTATTCACCCAATCAACTTTTGTTAAAGCTGCTCAAACTAGTCAATCAATTAACCGAAAGCAACCGACAGCTCTGCCCAGTCTCCGATGCTGCCAGCTGCCTTTGATCAATCAACCCATTCACAAGTTGCATAGTTAATTTTCTTTTCTATATATTGTAATCAATTGTAGTCATTCAGGCATTCTTCAATTTTCTTTGCTTTCCACTATTGTAAGAAAAAACCAGGCTGTGCTGAGTGCAATTTACCTCTTCCCGTTGTAAACCCAATTAAGATCCTTGCAATTGCTACAATTGTAATTGTAAGTTATTTTCTGTATTTTAATTAAAAGTTTTATAAAATTTTATGTTAAAATTTTAGTCATTTTAATTAGTGCATTCCATTTTAGTCATTCTACTCTCTGGTGTATATATATATATATATTTTAATGCACATTAGAAGTTTTTTTATAAATATTTTTATTTTAATATACATTAATTATTTTATTTATTTATTTTTCTTTTCTATATATTGTAATCAATTATAGTCATTCAAGCATTCTTCAATTTCTTTGCTTTCCACTGTTGTAAGAAAAAACCAGGGTGTGCTGAGTGCAATTTACCTCTTCTCGTTGTAAACCCAATTAAGATCCTTGCAGTTGTTACAATTGTAATTGTAAGTTATTTTCTGTATTTTAATTAAAAGTTTTATAAAGTTTTATGTTAAAATTTTAGTCATTTTAATTAGTGCATTCCATTTTAGTCATTCTACTCTCTGGTGTATATATATATATATATTTTAATGCACATTAGAAGTTTTTTTATAAATATTTTTATTTTAATATACATTAATTATTTTATTTATTTATTATATTTTTTAAATAATGTGTTATAGTTAATTTATTTTTTTATTTTTAATTGATATATATTATAAATAAAAAATTATAATAAATAAGGAATAATAAATTATGTTAAAATAAATAAAAAGAAAAATTAGATATTTTATTTTATAATTTTTTTTATTATATATGGTTTAATTAGATTTCTTTTAAATAATTGGATGATTTATTTTATGTATTATATGTTAAAAAGTTAAGAAATAATACTTTACAAAAATTAATATTGTATATGATATTTTAAGAAATAATAATTAAATATGTTATTATATATGTAATAAAATTTATAAATGAACCATGTAATTGAATATTTAATGTGAGAGCATCTAATATATGCGGATCGCGCAAACTTAATGTAAAATCAGGAAAACAATTAAAATGGACAGGTCCATTATGGAGACTAGTTTCTATCATTCCCATTAAACTATCATTATAATTAATAAAACGAGCATCACGTAAACATAATAAAACAGAAGTATTTTTACCTTGTGGAGTTAGCGGTTTTATTCCGACTTGAATTAATCCTAAATGAATAAAATTGTGACCAGATTTTAAATGACGTTTAATAGTATTAGCATCAAATAATTGGCAGGTTTCTCGTGGTTTTTCCAATGCATAAACTTGTTCTAATGTTTTAACATGCAAATTAACTTTGAATGTATTTTGTAAAAAAGTAGTTTTATAAATTTCTTTAACTGCTAATTTTGGTATATTTCAACTTAAATCAATTTTATCATTTTGTATTTCTACATCTTCTTCATTAATTACTAATGCCTGATTTGATATGGAGGGCGAAGTAGTTGACCTAGAACTGATTGAAGAGTTACTTCTAAATAATCGATTCATTTTTCTTTTTAATTAAACTGTGTTACAGGAATCTTAATATATTGTCTAAATTTATCATGTTTTCACATACATACCCTATTCGGAAGACCCCTAAAATCCAACACCGCCTAGCCAAAGGACTTACCAAGGATTGGGACGAAAGTGGGCCAGAAAAACTACTAAATGTGCTTAGTATATTAATTACCACCAAATTCAAGCTCGTCACCATTTACTTGCTGATTATTACAACTGTTTAGATTATCATCAACAATATCATGATCTTCTTAGCAGTTGTTAATCTTTGTTGCTAATCATTATTTCTTGATTAAACAGATGTCTCGCCCAAGGCCTCCTTCTAAGGCTTTGGTCCATTCTTCTGATAAACCTCTTTTTATTCCTCCGTTGGAATTAGTAACCCAGTATCATCCTATCAAAATGATTAACCGTTACCAAGTTCTTGGTAACATCCCTAGACCCAATTACTCTTCTACTTTGGCTACTGATCCTTTTGTTGCTCCCAGCTAAGCAGTTTCAATTACTCCATTTCCTGCTAATCCAATCAGGTCTGCTCAATCTGAGTATGTTAAATCAACCACTACTAACCTATTCTTCAAAGAACTTAGTCACCCCAAAAGTCAAACTATTCATGACCTTGCTAAATCCTATTTTGGTCCAGGATGACACTTTGTTCCTGGCCATCCAGATAAATCAATTACCTTCTATAAAGACATCTTGATTCATCATCAATTCGTTTTGATTAAACCCATTTATGATCGAACCTATGCTAGTAAGGTTTTGTATCATTCTATTTATATTCATAACATTGTTTCCTTAGCTGAATGGGGTCCTCCTTATCAGCTTCGTGAATTACCTGGTCACTCTATTCCTTACAATTACCATGATTACATTGATGCCTGGTTCAAGATCTTCTTGTACCAAAATGAATCCTTTAGTCACTCCTGGTTCATACAATTTGATCAAAAGTTCAAATCAGAATTACCTTCTTGGTTTCTGAGATGGTGGACTCATTATGGCACCATTTTAGATATCTTTCCTGATATTCTGATAGAACAAATCAACTATTTTGCTACTATTTTCCCATTTACTCCTCATCAAAGGAAATTTCCATTATTGTTAATTTTTATATCTAAGTATAAAATCCCTTGGATATTAAAATGGCATTATGGTATTTCTGATGATATAATTATCCGGCAACATTCTGTTAAATGGTGGGATAAGTTCACTCCTCACCGCATTGTTGAAATTGTCCAAACTGAATTCCCAATTAATCAATGTGCTCCTACTCCTGCAATGATTAAAGTCCAGCAGACCCCAACTGCTGCCATTTCTCAATGAAGTCCCAGTCTTCCTCCAATCAACTTTGGAAGCCCCTCATCTAGTAGTTCCAAGCCCAAATCATCCAAGTCAAAATTTGCATCCTCAACTAATAAATCAAAGTCCAAGGCTAAGTCCAAAGCTCCTGCAATTCCGACTCAGCCCAAGACTCAATCAAAGCCCAAATCAGATCAATCAAAGGCTGCTCCATCTAAGCCCAAGGTAAAGCGTGGATCAGCCAGTGATCAACTGCTTCAGATGGCCCGTCTTCTAATGGATCAGGCCCAAGCCCAATTAAAAGATGAATCGTCTGATGATGATCTTCCTGCACCGGCACAAAAGTCCAGTTCAGAAGAAAGTTCAGACAGTTCACAAGGATCAACAAATCAAGACCCATATGGACCAGAGTTCCAAGATGCTCAGGATCCATATGCCTTCTGATCAACATTGGATTCTATATAAATACAATTTAGCTTCAATCAATACTCTTTTGAGAAAAGCTGCCAAATTATATTTATATTGATTCTTTTAATCACATGTTCCACCGAAAGTAATGTATAGTAAAAGTTACTGTTCACTTTTACTATTCATCAATCACCTTTTGTTAAAGCTGCTCAACTGTTCTATCAATCATCCGAAAGCAACCGACAGCCTGCTCAGTCTAGTGCTGGGCCTTAGTATTTGAGTTGTGTATTGGGCCCTAAATGGTGGGCTATGATCTTTATGGGCTTATCCATGTCAATTACAATGATAGTTTAATGGGTATAATGGAAACTGATCTCCACAAAGGACCCGTTCATTTTAATTGTTTTCTTGATTTTACTCTTAGTCTTCGAGATCCACACATATTAGATGCATTAACTTTGAATTTTAAACTAAACGGTTCATTCACAAATATGAAAGAAAAAGTTCATAATATTGCTTTAATCTATCGTGTCCATTATAAATGTATTAAAACTAATTTAAATGTTCAAGCTTTACATAAAAGTCCAAAAGATAAAACTTTATTGATTCAAAGTAGTAGTAACGATACTAATATAAATATTCCTCAAATGATTGAATGGAAACATATAACTCTCCCAGATCAATGGGTTACAATCAATGAAAATTACAACCATGATAAAAAACAATCTACTAGTCAAGATATCCAAGATATTCAACAATATAATGATGGTTCTGTTCGAATTAAATTCAATCGTAGTCAATCCTCTCGACATAGTACATCTAGTGTACTTACTGAAATTGAAACTGAAGATGAGATATTTAATACTCCTTTATTTCGAAAAAATAGTCAAATCCATCTTGGTCAAACTAGTCAACCTTCTTATAATAAAATGAAAGGTGTTGATAACTCCACCACATCTCAAATTAGTAAACATGTTTATTCTAATCACCTACAAGAAGAAGATGTTGATTCACAAGATTCTTCAACTCAAACTGATTTCGAAGTTATATCTCCAATCAATCCTCAACTAATGACAATTAGTAAATCTTTTGCTCCTGATCTAGATAAATTACTTATAGAATTTAGGTCTTAAGGAAAATCGAACTAAAAGACATGCTTATCGTGCTAAATATGATACTAATCAACAGTCCCGAATAACTAGAAAATGGTATGATTTTATGATTGAATATAGTATGGAAATACCTTTCTTTGAATATTATGAAAATTATTATAAAAAAGTTAATACAATCACCAAACATAAATGGAAAACTTCCCCTAATACTACTGTTAGTTCTAGTCATCCTCCTTTAATTAACATTATTATCGATCATCAAGGATCTGAAGTCCCAGCCCCTCCTTTTAAGTTGCCTGGTACTGACCCTGAAATTAAAAAGGTTATTAAACAAAATAATTATACTAATAAATGTTTAAAGACAATTGATACGCAATTAGATAAAATTGAAACTCATTTAGATTCAACGATTGTTACATCTACTACAAAATCTTTAGATCAACCTTTGCTTAATCTCCCTAGTAATTGATCTAAGAGAACTAGTTTAGTTACCAATGATCATTCTACTATTAAAGTCATAGAACAATTACTTACCAAATTAAATACTTCTGATACATTTAAAGATAAAGGTCTTACTGTATTAAATCAACAACCTATAGATACTGTTTCTAATCAAACTGAAACTAATACTACTGATAATGAAATAAATCAATTAGCTCAACAATTTCAATCCTCTGCTATTAATAAAATTCATTATCCTAAAGTTAATCTTCAAACAACCAAAAATTGGTATTCCCGACCTACTCCTCCTGACCTCCAATATGAAGAAACTAATCTTTCTAATCAATTTTCTGTCTCTGCTGAGAAATTATGCGAATGGAATATT